TACTTGATATGGTAGCTAACTTTATATACATTGTAATGATAATAAACATAGCTACTAAGTAGCTGATACGGTTCATGATGATTTACTGTAGCTGTTGACTACTTTATCGCATTAGTTAGAGATGTAAAATGTTAAGCTGCAACTGGAGACTGTCATGGAGATTTGTTTGAGAATATAGTGAACATTAATAGTTTCTTTGTAAATAAATACTCTATATGTAATGCAGAGCAAAGGGAAAATATATGCCTAGACTAAGACACAACCCTCATTGAGCGCGTATAAAATGTTACCAGTAGAAAAGCAGCCTTTTAAATAAAACATATACATTTAAAACATTGATTTAAATAAATCTTCGTGTCTTTTAAAGTAATTATTATACGAATTTGTGTAATAAAATTTTATATTATGTGTATGGATTTTTTTACTCCTTCACTTCACCTGTATAAATAAACGTTAATATGCATGGACTGTTGTTATTGAAGGCTAAACGAGTCAGTATGTCCTTCAGTTTTTACGGGTTTTTTGTATGATGTGGATATTCAAACCAGATCTTCTAATCGCTTGACGAAGACGAGTAGTTAAAGGTTTATCGACAAAGGACATAATCCATGAGATAGTGTTTTGATGTGATTGTTTCTTCCTCTTTTTTTTTTTAGTCACTGGACAACAGTAGCTTTTGAAGTTTCATCCTGGCTTGCATCTTACCGTCCATGGTGTTGCGGATTTTTCTCAATCCTTGACCGATATCGACACCTTCTTTGGTAGCTGGTGGATGGTGTGAATTATAATGTATAATATTGGTTTTAACACGTGGTTTAAATATATGGTAGTAATAGTTGGCTGTTTTCGATAGTGACCATGGTATCAAGAAATGGTATAGACTTCCGGACGTTTTCAGTAAGTGTAAGCTTTATGTCAGGGTGTTGATTATTAAGGACTTCAACGAATTCAAAGAGAGAAGGGAGTCCATGATTCCATACACCGAAAATATCGTCAATATATCTGTACCATCTAGCTGGTTCAAGATTAGTTTCAAAATTTCACTGAGTAAGAGCTGATGATTCAAACAGATGCATAAAAACAGAGGCCAAAACAACAGCAATATTATTGCCCATAGAGATACATTTGGTTTATTTATAGGCAGCTGAAATGAATTTAAAGTAACTGTTTTTGAGAACAAATCTGAAACAATTGTTTACGATTTCTATAGAGGTATCATTAATAGTGGAAAGATTATTCGATCTAATAAGATTCATAACCGAACTTATACTTTCTTCTATGAGAGTGAGAGGGTACAGAGAGAAGACATCAAGAGTATATAGGATAGTGTTCGAACTCACCTGTAAACCATCTTCGCGTAACCTGTTGAGAAAGTCGTCGGTGCTACTTAGGTGTGAAGGGATTTTGTTAAGGAGAGGGTGAATTAGCTTAATGAGTAGCCAAGATACAGACGCTAATGGAGACTTGCATATGAAGACTATGAGTCTTAGAGGTGTGCCAGATTTATGATCTTTCGGTAATCCATAGAGTTCAGGGGGGTTGGAATGAGATGGTCTAAGATTGTCTAGAAGTCGCGTGGGTATAATGATTTTAATTTTAAAGTTCTTCAAAATGTCTTCAGCATTTTTTCCAGTTCTTTTAGAAAGGGTTAAGTTGCATCTCGATGATTCGTCTAGTTACGAACCAGTTAACAAAGATCCCACAGGTAGGTGGATGTATTTGTTAAAACAAACTTTTACACTTGTCGCCCACTTTCGCAATTATGTGATCGTTCTTTGATTGTTGATAGCTAACCGCTCGCTTTTTGGAATATTAGATGTTACGTGATAATCAGTGGTGGGATTCAAATATTTTAACAACAGGTTCTCTCAC